GTCAGCTTTGCTGCAAAGACAAAGCAATGAACGCGATAGCAAGTAAATTGGAAGGTCAGGCGCAGAATAGCAAGCAGATCAAAACGTGCCCCTGGGTTTCTCACGCACAAATGACGCACGAAACCTACTCACAGGTACAGATGAACGCTAATAAGCGTTTTAGCTATTACTTCACTGTGTCTAAAAAGTTCGCCCTTTCCACAAACAGAGACTGTGCAATGATTGTAGTGACCTTTGCCAGCCCAGTAACTACAACAGAATCGTTTCAGTGAAAGCCTGAGGCCAGCCAAGAGGTACGATTGTCCCCACTGGGAGATAAGCGCACGCTGGAGGTCCACTCTGCCCCCTCTCCACAGGGCAAAGTAAGTGTGGAAGGTCAAAGTGTGCGCCACCGCATCAGTGACGACGCGTGCTCATTGTGCCATCTTGCTGGTAATGCTTAAAACTGCAATAGTTCCCCCCAGATGCCCGCCACCAGCCATAAGTGTTAGATATAAATAGCTTGCTGTTAGAACGTTGAAGGAGGTACTTCTCCGTGGCTCAGTGGCTAACGCCTAGCACTTAAATTCAGAGGTCCCCCGTTCGATTCCGCGTGCCAAAGTCTTTTTCTTAAATATTTTTGTTGCGTTTTTATATATATATAAATGCATATACATATATGGTGAGTGATGGCGATGCCGACGGCAAAATCCAACCGAATGTGTCCATGTAATTGCTATCACAATAATTATGACTTATGCCGTAGTGGGTACCATGCAAGTGTGCTTAGGTTAGTTGCCCCAAGAGTATTCAAAAAGGCTCTAGAAAGGCTGTCCTTCTCCTTTAGCCCTCGCTGCACAGCAGGCTCCATGCAGGCCTGTCGGTTTTTGAAAATCGTTGTTTTTTGGCGATTTTCGCAAAAATTTTTGTTATATAGTGGATAGAAAAACAGTGAGAAAAATTGAGCACCAGGAAAAGGAGGACACTCACAACAGCACGGTTATTTGAGTCCTCTTTTTCTTGTACTCCGTCTTTTGTGCTGTTCTTTTTTTTTTTTTGTATCTGCCATGTCCTGCCAACACACCCAAGCATCCATTTCAGCTGAATTTACGCCACCTAGGAAAGAACAAGTTTTTTTACGCAGTTCTGCATGGTTTCTGGTGTATATATTTTGGAATCGGATAGAAAAAGGGTCCCAGAAACCTAAAATTTAATTTAAAAAATTGATTCTTTTTGCCTTTTTTGCGATTCGAAAGCCATTTGCCTACTTAAGTTTAAAAGTACTGACGAAAAAGTTTGGGCGCAGAATAATTTGTGGGATAGATTCATGTGGACGCACATGCATAATCTACGAAGTGTGAATGGATAATATTGCCTAGAACATAAGGAAGAATTTCGAAGTGCGTGTCATGGCACCGCATGCAAAACACACCTTTGGTTTTCTTGTAAATAACCAACTGCGTCATGAGTTTGTGTTGGCTGCCAGGGTCTTTGCAAGTGCTGTCTCCTAGCAGGCAATTTTAACGGAAAGATGGGGCAGGCTTGTGCAGGAGAACAAAAAAACCTTGCCTCGGCAGTGCATTTTTGGGATTCACGCGTGTCTTCAACATCTTCGATGGAGCCTTCGTTGATCATTGCAATGCTCATGTGCATGTGCCAGCTATGTTTACACAAAAACCAGTGCCCTCTAAAACTAAAACTGCAAGTGGGCAGCATCTCCCCAGAAGTAACCGTTGCATGCTTGAGCTTTCCAGCCATGTTTGTTAGATAACAACAAGAAAACAAGATGCAATAGTTTTGTGCCTCCAAGAATTTCAACCATTGTTTGGTAGCTGACAAACAGACAAGACACGAATACGAAACAAGCGCTGGTCCAGCAATTGAAAGATTATATTTAAAAGTTTAGTACAGAAAACATGAAGCAAAAGGAAGCTTATGATCAATCAATAAAATGAGTCTCTTGTGCCAATAATGCCACTGATGGCTGACTTGTGAATTAGCTATTGCATTTTTGTCATGTGTTATGCCTCTGCTATCTCAGGTGTGCGTTGATGTGTGCTTGTCTTGTCATCTTCTTTTGTGTCTTCCCTGCTTGTGCGCTACCCAACAAGGTATAGGCTCCAACTCGCCTGCCTTTCAGTCCCACTGAAAGGTTTCAAGCTTTCAAACTTCCCATTTTTGACACACTTTAATTTCTGGTCGAGCACATCTGGCATTAATGGCATACACCTAAAACGGCAGCTGGGGCGCTGGCACTGCAGTTGGTGATCTTTGAAACCACAAGGCCACCTGTTGAGGATACTTACATCACCAGGTGTTAAGAGGCACGGTTCGCTGGTTTTTTACATGCACTGCTGCTACTTATTGGTTCCTCAGGAATGCATCTAACAGACAGATCGGAGTGGTGGGCTATCGAAAGCAATTTGTGGTGAAACAGAACAGTGGGCGGTGAAACAGAGTGGTTGGTGGCATTTCCATGCCGCCCAGTAGGCCTAAAACCTTGTTGCAAAATTATACACCATGTCAAGAACAAGATTGAGCTGCTAAGGCATGCAGGCCAGGGAAAGACCATCTCTCGTTTTTTACAGCGAAAGCTGTTATGAGATCACAACAAAGGTTAATTTTGGCTGTGTAGTTGCCCACCCCTGCTGTGTCCGTAACCAGTGTGAAATAAGAAAAAACTAACTTAATAAAGATACTGAGAATAGAATGGGATTTGAACCTGGGTCCTCTGTGAGGCAGCCCGTCGTTCTAACACTGAGCTGAAACTCTGTTGCAAACTGACCCTATGCAGGCTTCATGTCGGTTAATGAATCGTATTAACATGTGTAATAAAGCATTTTAGAGCAGTAAAGTAACGACCAGGCATTCCACCATGTGCATTGCATAACGATTGCATCATTGAGTGCACATTATAAAAGGCATATTTTTTCATTGTTGTGAGCCAAAGCATCAACGAAGTGTACGTAATGCCTTATACAAGTGCATAGCGGGTACCACACATCCCCGAACAATGGCACAGTGGATGCTTCTCTACTGCACAAAAATTATGATTTATGGCCTAGTGGGTACAATGCAAGTGGGCCTGTGGTAGAAAAGCCACTCTCTCATTTTTCACTGTGGCTGTGTATTCCATGCTGGTTGGGGGGGGGGGGGGGGAGTGATTCTTAAATGAGAGAAAAAAAAGATAAAAGTGAACCCCATAACTGTTTGCATCACCCGGTCTGGGGTTATTTTCGAGTGAAATATAAATGCATGGAGTTGCCATTTATTCGCAACAGCTACTTTTCACTTTGTTATTGGGAATAAAACTAAATTTAAAGAATAAGTCAGGTTTTGCCTTCTTCCAGTTCAGAGGCCTGCTAATGTTTGGCATACACAAGCACAATGCACACTCGCAATTGAGTTAGGTGACTACTTGTCACCAACAGCATTTATTATCTTTAAACAAGCGTTGAAAGACATTCATCACATTATGGTGAACCATTGATGACCATGGGCCAAATATTTTTGGTATGGGAAATGTTCGTTCGAGGTTCACTAAAGCTAAGTGTTCGAGTCACTGTCTGTGTTGTGCTCGGGACAGTCAACTGGTGATAAATATTCTTCTCTGCATGAACCTGCTGTAGGGGGCACATGTTGAATTCTGGATGCCTAACGTTAACTGTTGTCACTCGTAGTGTATGCATCAAGGTGTCGATTAGGTCACGGGAGCTGAGGGTCTAGCTGGTGTTCATCATTGGGATCAACTACCTATAATATTGGCTATTTCGTACCATATGCGAACTAGCTTGACACATTTTGAATTTCATTCCCTGCTTATCTTCATGTTCACTGCATGTCAGATTGTGACATATGAGTGTGACTGGTTTTGGAAAAACTGTGAGAAGCTTTTGCCAGCTCATCTGCCATTTCATCTCCTTTTATTCCACAGTAGCTTGAATTCACTGGAATCCCACATAATGGTTTGACTGTTCAACGTGTAAAAGATTGTTTAACATATATTACATGCATATCTATTTTTCCTGGATTCATATCTTCAGTGCACATCAGAGCTGCTGGGGAATCAGTTATGACAGGCCTGCTTTCTTGGCATCTCTGACAAGTTAGCAGTGCTGAGAGCTAATAAAATAGCTACAACCTCTGATGTTGCTGCACACAAAAATGGCCAAGCCAATAGGCATATTCTAAATGCAGCTTAGGAATGACAAAGGCTGATGTTGAAGCCAATTTGGTGACAGGGCCAACTAGTGTACACATAAATGTAGCCTGGTCAGGTATTTCTCATTTAGCTGATGTGATGCCAATGGAAGTACTGCGATGGCTGGTACTTCATGTTCATTGCAAAGGTCTTCTATTGATGTCTCGGATGTTAGTAGTTCGGAGCTAGAGTGAGCGAGTTGACAGTATGGGGAACCATTAAAGGTATTGTTGGTGCACACACTGCGTGACTATATGGAAAAGGTGCCGACTCTGAAACACATTAAATTAAGTTCTTCTCGTAGCTGATGCCTCTGATTCGTTTTGCATTGTGCTAAACAGTTTTTCGTTTAATCTGTTCCAACTCGCCTGGCTGTCGTCTCTTTCGGTCGTGAAGTAGGTGGTTTCGAAAACCTCAAGTTTTTGTAGGGTTTAGATGGGCATGAGAAGCTTGCGCAATATTTTACGGTATAAGCGTTTATAGTGTTCCGTTTTAAATTCTATTACAGACGTCTTTGTGGCTTTTAATTAATGGTAATGGCTGAGCTTTTATGGCTCGGACGCAGAATGCCTTAGCAATTAATCGCCTGCAGCAGAACGAGGAAAACTTCACGGGCTTCCGGATGCCTCGAGACGAGTACTACGTCGCAAGGAAAGCGAGGGTCTCTATAATAAGTGTCCGTGTCGCTTAGGTGAAATACCGGTTCTTCGCGAAAAAGAAGCGCCAGAGATTCGTTTTAAAAATTGCGCCAAATCGCGTGTGCTGCTCGCGAGCCCCCCAGACACGCGTGTGCCCTTGGCAGGCGCCGCCGTATCGCTTGTTAAAATGCGGGCGGCCCGATTGCGGCGATAGGATGGATTACGGGCTCGTGCATCTCTACGGGCCAGGCCACGCGTCGCCGCAGAGGGCCCTTCTTCGACCCCATCACACCGAGTGGTGTCACTTCTGCCCGCCCTCGCTAGATGGCAACGGTGCTGCCATGGCCCACGGCGGCAGCGGTCAGTCTACTCCTCCGTCGACGAGCGAAGAGGCGCCTTCGTTCACCAGGACAGCCAACGGTTGGGTAGCGCCAGTGTGTTGCGTTGCTTGCCACAGCGGACCGGTTACTTTCTGCCGCAAAATGCCCAACATCAAGGTATTTAGTGGTTCGTCGCACTGTGATCTCGCCCAAAAAGTGGTCGACAGGCTCGGCATAGAACTTGGAAAGGTAGTTCTCAAGAAATTCAGCAATCAAGAGACATGGTAAGTTCTTCGCGTATCTGTGCTGCATGTTGTAGTATGTGTCGTGTCGACAATTGGTGTGTCGGCTTGCATGCTGGATAGGCTGTAAAGTAGGCGGGTTTTGAATGCGGACGAAACGAAGTTCGTAGTGTGGGTTTATGAGGAAGGGTTACAACGTGGTATGAGCAGTGCTCGTAATAATGCGCATTACTTTAGTATCGCTGTCGAATGCTATACCGAGGCGCTAACGTTACAGAGCAACACGTGTCACGCTGGTTAAGTGCTGGAACGTGCGTTATCAGCTGTTTCATGGGCGCGCTGTTCGTCGCAATCGGGAAAACCCCCCGGGCGCTGCTCAGCCGTCGAGCAGCACTGATAACCCGCGCCCGCCGGCGCTTTATCGCTCGGCGCCCAACTTATCTCATGCAAGTATGTCTCGTCTCAAAGTCGCGACCTTTTGCACTGCACGGAATCTCAATTGAACTGCTTGGGGCACTCTCCCATCAGCCGTTCTCGCCTAATTAGATTGAGTGGCGTCGCAACGATCGCACCACGTGCTGCATTGCGCAATCGCTTGTTGTTGAACCACTCTTCCGTAAGCGATGCACCACGGGTGCTCCTGGCCTTGAAAGCCAATGAAAATTGGTGAAACTATGGTTGTGCGGGTCGTCCGGGCCCGGGATTTCGAGCTTGTTATGCCGTTTACAAATGTGTTTATATTGCTGCATTTCACTTAGGATTCGTTTAAGATGGATGTGGCTTTGTTTAACAGTTTGTCAGTCTTATACGGCACTATCTCGTTGACACGTTTTTGAAAAAAAAAAAAAAAGAACGGGGGATAATACATTATAGAGGGGGAAACGTACAAAGACATCCACTTCTATCTCGAACCTCGAACACTGCACCGTGTGGCTGGATGGATGGATGGATGGATGCTGTGAGCGGCGACGTGTGCCACCAGGCTCGCAAGAAAAAAAAAAAAGTATACTTTCTTCTTTATGTTGGCCTAATGCATTCTATACTTTGATCAAATCGATCTTATAATAACAAAAAATATAAATTTATGTTCCATATCTGTGCCCCTTCAGGCAGAATGACCTCATTTTCCCACTATTTTTGTCCTTTATCACTACTTAACTGCCACCAATACTCTAACAGTCTCTTACTAGCTTTTATCGCGGACCTGTTCAGCTTTCCATGTTTGTCCCTCGTTTCCTTAGCTCCCCCACAGCATGTCCATTGTTCTTCTTTATTGAATCTCACATTATGATTATGCATTCTAAGGCAACCCGACCTCGCTTACGAACAGCAAAGCATTTCCCCTAGAGTTATCATAAACACTCTCCCGCCTTATTTTGTTCTTGCCCTTTTCGTAGTTGCCGAGAGCCGGCTTCTTTTTCATCACTGTCATCCAATGAATCCTCTCTCACTTATCTCTGACTTATCCTTGTTGCCATACGCCCACATTGCCTGCCATATATATATCTACTGGCGAGCCTCCTAGTTCTTTTTCTCCACTTTGTGTCCACGCTCTTTATATGCAAATACCGGAACACCTTTCCTGCCCATCTACTCTTTTTCATTTTCCTAAGCCTCTCTTCTAATCTCATTTTGCTCTGAGCTTCCCTTACTTCAAAGCCTGTCCACCCCATATCCCCCTTTACAGCCACATTTGTCGTCTTCCCGTGAGCACCAAACATGAGGCGTTACACAGTACATTGATTTAACATAAATTTCTGATTGCACCTCTGACTTCGTGCACACCACTGAGTTCCCAAATGTAAGCCTTGGAACGATTACATCATTCCACAAACCTCGAAGCACTTAGTACCTATTGTATACCCATAATGCTCTGTGCTTCATTATTTCAAGAATTCCTCTTTCCCTTTGCTGCCGATATTTTTTCCTGTACCTCCGTATATCTATCTCCTTCTTTACTTATACTTCGAGGTACTTGTACTCGCTTGTCCTTGGTATTTCTTGGCCCTGTATTGAGACCGCCTGGTCTTTGTGCTCATTGAATGCCATAAACCCACGTTTTGCTGCGCTAAATCCTACCCTAGAGCCTTGCCTTCCCTTCCACATATATGTGCCAGCCACTGTATATTGTCTTGACTATTCACAAATAGGACAATATCGTCTGCATAAAATAAACCTGGAAGCTTCTGCTCAACCATCGCGCCAGCTTGTTCATGTAACAGATTAAACCCACTGCTGCTACCTGCCAGTGCTCTTTTCATCCACCATGTACAGCATGAATAACTGGGGGGACAAAGGACATCCCTGTCTCAGCCCCTTGTCAATTTTAATGCCGTCATTGCTACTTATTCCTTCCCATTTTATGAAAACTGTAGTTTCTCGGTATATTCCTCTGAAAAGCTATAATACAGTCATCTCCTATGCCCATTTCTTTCAGTATGACCCGCTACATTTCCCGATTTACATTGTCATATGCTCGAGTGATGTCCAGATAAGCTACGTATAAGGGCCTGTTTTCTATTTACGATATATCTATACACTAAGTAAGAACAAACAGGTTATCGTCTCATCACCTTTCGATTCGGAATCCATTCTGCAGTTTTTCCAAGATATCATTTTGCTCTGCCCACGTTTCTATTTTTAATTTTACTGCCTCTATTGCCAATCTATCTAGCACAGATGTAATGGTTATTTCTTTATTTATTGCATACCTGCATCACCCCATTGGGCATTATAGCAAGGGACTTGCATACAAAAATGTACAAAGCAAACACACTCGCAAAGCGTGGTAAAATACATCGTTATCTGAAATGTTTACAACATCGGGCAACAGGGCATTCCATTCTCTAATGGCTCGTGGAAAATAAGAATACGTGAACACGTAACCCTTAAAAGGAAATTCGCAAACTTTCATTGCATGGTCGCGTCTCGATGAGATGTAAGTGGGTAACTTACTTTTCTCGTTCAATGCTGGGTTTATAATGGTATACAGCATGAAAAAATTTCAGTCTAAAGCTTTTACGCCGATCTTGCAAAACATGCCATAATAATGTACGATTGCTTTTCGTAATGCTTATTGTTCTGTGTTGAGCACAAACCGAACCACCTTATTTTGCACCCTTTCAAGCTGCTCCGTGAGATCAGCTGTGTGCGATGCCATAATAATGTACGATTGCTTTCCGTAATGCTTATTGTTCTGTGTTGAGCACAAACCGAACCACCTTATTTTGCACCCTTTCAAGCTGCTCCGTGAGATCAGCTGTGTGCGGATCCCGACAAACACAACCATAATCAAGTATGCTGCGAACGTACGTGAAATACAGTTGCTCTTTTAATTTCTGTGGTAACAGACCAAAATTACAACGAAGAAAACCCAGAGCACTTATTGCTGTGTTCTTAATATGTTGAATGTGTCTATTCCACCTTAAATCAGACATTATAAAAATACCTAGATGTTTATATTCTTTAGCTTTCTTTAAGGTCATATTATTCAGCGCATATGTGCAAGACTGAAATATGCGTTTCCTTGAAAAGGTGTCGTGAACACACTTCTGAAGATTTAAGGGCATTTCCCATTTATCACACCATGATCCTATACTGTCTAAATCAGCCGGCAGTTAAGTAATATCACTCTCTTTATGTATGCCTCTTTGAATCACAGTCATCTGCAAACATTCTAAATGAAGATTTGACGTCATTTACAATATCGCTAATAAAAAGCAAAAACAAAAGGGGACCCAGAACTGATCTCTGTGGAACAACCAAAGTCACTTGAGCATACACAGGAATAGAAACCATTGAGCACGACAGACTGCCTGCCGCCTTGTACGAAGATACTTCGCAACCCAGGCGACAAAACCTATCATCTAACTTCTATGATTATAGTTTTGAGATGAAACGATCATGTGCAACTACATCAAATGCTTTTCTAAAACCGAGGAATTTGCAGTCTATTATTTGCGTCTTATCTATCGCTGAAGCCAGATCGTGAAAAAATTTAACTAGTTGGGTGGAGCATCAGAAAACTTGTCGAAAACCATGCTGACAAGAACTTAGAAGGTTCTTTTTCACTAAAGGTGACATGATTGAAGTATAAATTGTGTACTCTACTAGTTTACATGTTATACTTGTCAAAAACACCAGCCTGTAGTTCTCAACGGCATTTCTCGATCCACCTTTGTGAATTGGTACAACACGTGCCAGCTTCCAGTAGTGTGGTAATGAAACCTCAGATGAACATTTTTGAAATAAATGAGAAAAGTAGAAACACAATATCCCCGAACAATCTTTAAGAATCGGTGCCAGAACATCAGCCGGACCGCATGCTGTGGACGGCTTCATTTTCGGTAATAACTTACGCAAACCGTCTACACCAAATACAACCTCAGGCATTGGGTTAATGTCAGTCTGACAGGTCACGTTATAGATTCAAGAAGTTTTGGCCAGAACTCTGAAAAAAAAATTGCTAAATAGTTTCACTTTAGCTTTATCACCGTCAACTATGGTTTCGGAGTTCTTTAAGGGAGGAATGGGAGTATTATCTTTACCGTTAGACCTAACAAATTTACAGAAATCTTTGGTGTCCCCGACAAGCTTTTCGCCAAGATTTACAAAGTATGCTTAGCCTTCTCAGCTAAGTGTTGAAAGCTGCCTGTAAATGTCTCAGCTCCCAAGCATCCTGAGATTGCGTTTTCTTATACTTCAAGTAAACTCACCTGATTTTTCGCAGTAATGGGCGTAGCTAATAATTAAACCAAGCTTTCTCTTTTGATCGTCTAGAGGAAATAACATGAATAGGGACAAAGGCATCACTCAACTCAAATAGCTTGTATTTAAATAGCTTCCACAACTGTTCACTTGTGGATTCATCAACTAACGCTTAAAAAGTGAAAAAATAGGACTCAAATGCTGAAATTATAACCCCAAAGCCAGCCCTTTGATACATGTAAATTTTTCTTAGTTCTCTTTTTGGCACTGACCCATGTTGAGCGGTGACGTCGGCAATGAAAACATGATGGTCAGTTAAACCAGGCAGTGTGTTGACGGTTCTTATAATACTAGGAACATTACATGAAAGCAAGTCAAGTATATTTCCGGTGCCGTCATCACGTGATGCATCATGAATGTATTGCTGAAACGCAAAATTGCTGTCAAGGCTGAAAAACGCTGAATGCATAGAGCCAGTGACAGACGCAGCAGGATCACCACTCAACCAGTCTATATCGGGAAAATTAATATCCCCCCCTATTATGATAGTGTTGATACAGAACAGCCGCCGCAGCCTTGCTGCATGAAAGTGAAAGACGACGATTGCTGGTTGTTGATGAACTGGTGCCATCTTGTTCGCCAAGCTGTGTGCATCGCATATAGTTTAATAAATAAATTACTCGTAACATTATTGGTGGAGGTGGACGACAGCTGTACTGCGATGGAGACACACAGCGGTCGCAACACTGGGGACTCATCGAATACTTCAACTGCCAGTACCTCATCACCACCGGCCTCTCCAGCCGAGTCGACAACTTACGTCACACCCGGCCGCCCCCGCGGGATCCTGGCACCTTTTCCGCTGACGGTACCATCGACGTTGACTCCTCGCTGCACCGGTACGAGTGCGTCCGTGCTACCCACCGCTGGAATTGCACGCTCATGCTCGTGAATGTTTTGTTCTACCTCGATGGCATGCCAGGGACATGGTTAGAAAGAAATGAAGCAGAAATCACGAGCTGGGATCTCTTCAAAACGAAGATCCGGCATCTTTTTTGGCGATTCATCTGGTCGTCAGCTCACTGCCAAGAAGACTTGCCACTCGCATTCAGACGTCTAGTGAATCGTACGTCTCATACATTCTTGACGTCTTGGCGCTTTGTAGCAAGGTTGACCAGTGCATGTCGGAAGACGAGAAAGTTAATCACATCCTCAAAGGAATTGCTGACGATGCCTTCAACCTGCTGGTTTTTAATAATGTCACGAGCATTGACAGAATGCCACCGTTTAGAACAGGCTAAAGCCCGCCGCGTCACTCACGGCATCACGCGCCTGACGGACACAGCGGCTACATCCTCATGCTATGACTCCTTCCAACAAGTTCCCCGATATGACAACCTCACCCGCATCATTCGTTGCGAGGTCGAGGCAGCCCTACCAATAGTCACTTCATTCCCAACGCCTGATCCTTCACCGACCACAATCTCACTGATACAAGCCGTCGTTCGTCAAGAATTATCGAACTGTCGGCCTACATCCTGTTCAAGCAGTCTGCTCTGCCGAGCCTTTTTATCATCGTCCCTTCGCTCCTTGCTTTGGTTCCAACTACTCTCGACACTGTATCTGTGCGCGCGTTGATCGATACCGGCGCGCATGTGTCCATCACAAGTGCTGCTCTTCGTCGCCGACTAAAGAAAGTTGTCACACCTGCTTTGAACCGAGCTGTTCGAGTCGCCAACGGGAGAACTGCCATCCATTAGTGGCATATGCTCTGTGTTGTTACTCATCGCATCAATACTGGTGATGAGAGTCTTATTCACAGATGTCCATTCACCGATGTCTATACAGTGTTTCCGCGTCCGAGCGTACAGTCATGCAACAGAAAGTCAAAAAGATGCTTGCAAAAGACATAATCGAGCCCTCGTTTAGTCCCTGGGCTTCTACTGTTGTCCTGATCAGAAAGAAGGATTGAACGTGACACTTTTGTGTAGATTATCGGCATCTCAACAAAATTACGAAGAAAGATGTTTACTCGTTGCTTAGAATTGATAATGCCTTAGACTGCCTTTACAGTGCTACGTATTTTTTCACTATCGACCTTCGATCTGGCTATTGGCAGATCGCCGTCGACGAGATAGACCGTGAGAAGACAGGATTCATCACTCCTGATGGTCTTTATCATTTCAAAGTTATGCCCTTCGGTCTTTGTAATGCGCCGGCCACATTCGAAACAATGATGCACTCAATGCTCCATGGGTTCAAATGGTCAACCTGCTTATGTTATTTAAACGATGTTATCGTTTTCTCGCCCACATTCGACTCTCATCGCGATTGTTTATCGGCGATTCTTCGAGTTTTTCGTCGAGATGAACTCAATTGAACTCTTCGAAATGCCACTTCGCTCATCGTCAAATAACCGTACTTGGCCACCTCGTCGATGCCGCAAGAGTCCGCACGGATCCCGAGAAAATTCTCGCCGTCACGGACTTTCCTGTTCCGAAGTCCAGAAAGGACGTTTGCAGTTTTGTGGAATTGTGCTCTTATTTCCGACGCTTTGTTAAGGACTTCGCAATCATTGCACGCCTACTCACAAACCTCCTGAAGGACGCCCCGTTTTCCTGGGACGTAGATCAAGCCTCATCTTTTTTCCAGCTTGCGACTTTCCTTACAACACTGCCGATTTTAGCTAATTTCGATCCAGCAGCTTCAGCCGAGGTTCGCACTGATGCTAGTGGGCACGGCATGGGAGCAATGCTATTGCAGCTTCATCGCGGACGTGACCGTGTTATAGCATATGCAAGCCGACTGCTATCTACCGCCGAGCGCAACTATTAAATCGCGAAGCGTGAGTGCCTCGATTGTCTCGAAGCGAGTGTGCCGTGATTATCTAGCGGTCATGAAAACAAGAGATAAGCATTGCTTATCCCTTGTTTTCTCCGAATTATTTGTCTGTCAGCTGTGATGTTTGAAAATGACTGGAACATGGATGCGTGCACGCACATGCATTATCACACACGCATTTGTAAGTAGTAAGTCTGGTCAGCTCATTAGTACTGAATGTTTCATTGGCATTTTTATTTACTAGAAATAATTTTGATTGACAATGATGTTTGACCCTAGAAAGTTGCTCCAGAACACACCCTTTGGTTCTCTGAACCTGCTCCGATACTCCCATTGTACTGTGCCAAACCTGCTCCAAAACAGCATTATTCCTGCTCCCTGATCTTCTTGAAGACACTCAAGTCCACTTCTACCCCTGCCACTAAAAAAAAAGACACTACTTATACATTCTTAGACACTGTTTTGCACAGCAAGCCAGTTAGGACCATTCATTTGCTCTTTAAATAGACTTTGTGTGTGACCTTCAGTAGCGCCTCACATTACATTACAGAAAGGAGCACCTAAGCTATGTGGGAAAAGTTCACTCAGTTGGGATGCCAGCAATGCATTGCATAGTTTTGCATAGTTTTCTTAGACAATGGTGCTTAAGTGTATGTGGAGATTTCTTATATGATAAAACATTGGAATACAGCATGAGGAAAAATGTATTTATAGTCCGGCGTGGCAGCACTGCGCGGACTGCATATGTGGATGCATAAACCAGCAAACAGTTATACTGGGCATGAGTTTGTAGGCTTGATTTCTGGCTGCTGGTTATGCTCTGATGCAATGCTCGTGCGCCAAGCTGTAAGGAGGAGGCAAGCATGTTATTTATTTAATAGTAGACTATAGTACCATATCATAGCACCAGTGTTACTTTGAAGCATTTAATGCTGCAATTCCATATCATAGCACCAGTGTTGCTTTGAAGCATTTAATGCTGCAATTCCGAAGCAATGCAATAAGGAAGCTCATTGTCTGGTTTTTTCTTTCTTTTGAATGTGCAGTGTGGAGGTAGGGGAGAGTGTTCGTGGTGAGGATGTGTACATCATCCAGAGTGGATGTGGGGAGGTGAATGACAACCTCATGGAGCTGCTGATTATGATCAATGCCTGCAAAATTGCTTCTGCTTCCCGAGTCACTGCTGTCATACCTTGTTTTCCATATGCAAGGCAGGACAAGAAGGACAAGGTAAGTGCCGGCTGCAACAAGGTGCAACTGGTCACGCAAACACCTTGCTTGCTCTCTTCTTTCTTTGGGATGTGGTTGTGATTGTCTGGTATCTGCCTGATCTCTTTTCTTTGGTGTTTCTTCTGTACTTTTTAAAGCTCGTATACGTCTCAGCCTCCAACATTCGAAAATGGCTATAGTGAAATAAGAGGATTTATGCAACACCAATACTATATGAGACATAAGTCGATGTGTGACATGAAGGGGAAAGAAACTAAAAATACATTGAGGCCACTGATGATGTAGGGTTCTGCACAGCCTCAGTATATAAATCTGATGGAGCCGTGACGATCACATGCACACGAGCTTTATTTAGCTGCACCAATGTGAGCAGTAGCAGGGCGGCAACTGCCATGGAGGACTATGGTTTCGCTTTTGGGTGCCTGTCAGGTGAAAGGTCAGACTTAACTTGCACTTGGGTCTACATAGAGCACAGGAGCAGGTTGGTTCATTAGGCACAAAAATGGCTGTGCTGTTCCTCCAGCTCATCTAGGAATGCAAATCCAGGGGGGGGGGGAGGCATAGATACAATTTCATTTATATTTAACTCGGCCAAATTGAATTATCCTTTACGTTAAGTGATATTCAAACACGGCAGTGCTTTAACATCCGTGCATAGGAAAATTTATAGTTACATTGGACAAAATTGGCCAAAACACTTCATATATCTAACATTTCGTCACCGGAAGTTGCCTTTTCCACTGTGAAAAGGGCTTCCCAGCATGCACATGGGCAAGAGAGGGGTCAACGCATTTGATTGAACACTTATGTTATAACGAATTTTTAACACAATAGAGTTAAAACGATAGTTTCACAGAAATTCCAATGTCGACATCTGTGTCGGCATGGGAATTGCTTATTTGTGAGGGAAAAATCATCTTGTGCATAACCAAAAAAATCACAAAAGATACAAATAAAATTAAAATGGAAATTTCCGGGTCCAAGTGAGGATCGAACCCAGGCCATCTGTGTGGCAAGTAACGGTTCAATCAAGCAGCCACGAGCCACGTGTCTGCTTAGAAATACAGTGAAAATAATTTCCTCTGCTTGGAAATGCAGGGAAAGTAACTTTTATGCGTTATAAACACACATGTCCCGTATACAGGCTTCACAATAGAACCGGTAATGTTGAAGTAATATTGCGGGGTGCAAGCGTACATTGCCATGGGCGTCAGAAGATGTAATTATCATAATGACTTCATGGTCACCCATTACAAAAGGCACATATGTTACTGCACGTATTCCCTTAAGACTCCATGGGTGTATAGCAAGTTCGAAAATATATCATGCACATAATTGCTCGTAGTTTAAAAGCATGTTACCCTATTACACAAAATGCAGCCATATGCGTAAGCTTTGCCGACACAAGCCACTTCAACTTTATCTATTACATGGTAGTAATCCACAATTAAAATAAAAAGTGTGCACTTAATGGTTGAAGTACGCACTTAGAGACAGGATATTGCTATAGTGCTCAACTCTTAAAGGTGAAGCTTAAAGGTCCCCCAATTTTATTTATAATCACTCGAGCGGCTGGAGAGTCGGACAACACTGGCGTACTGTTGTGGTACCCATCCAGGCATTCTAATGGACCATAGTTGTTATCTGTCCTTCTCATGATGGTGTGACCTGCCCGTTTCATTCAACATGATAGCAATAAAGAGCACGTGTTGCAGAAACTTTGCTGTTGGCATCGGAAATGCTGGTTGCTAACAAAAAAAAAAATCTGTGAAATATGTGTAAGCAGCGAGTGTTAAAACATGTACGCAATGAATTAGCAGTACCTCTGCAGTAACAGGCAATGCTAGACTATGCTTTTGTGACTCGTAGAAGTACATTTGTGATCACATTGTTAAAAAGCAGGTTGTGAACACTGCAACGATAAATGGCGTTCATCACGCCACACCTGATTTCAGGCGAGCACTGATGTAATAATCTATGGGACATATTTACAAAAGTGTAGACTTGCACTGTGTGAATTTTGTGATGAGTGGGTGATTTAAAAGCCCTAAAAGGCATTCGGGCATAATTGATCATCTTCATCAGCCCTGGTGCCAGCAAACTGTGCAACTGCAGTTATATCAGAATTTCAGTTTTAAGCATTTGCTGCGTCTTCGTCCTCTCGCTTGTCTTTTGCCTAGTGTCTGGGCTCATTACCATTATGAGTGACATGTCCCAACTCACTTCTGTTTGGCCTGTTGAATGGTTGAAGCCATACTGAGTGCTACATGAGTGTACATCATTGCATCAGCAGATACTGGTGCTTGTTGGGTCACAGAGCCTATCAAATCAGTGTACGTGGCGACACCCTGTACAATACGTTGTCAATCAAATGCAAAGTTCGCTCGGAAGCAGCAGAGTGCACCTATTGCATATTTCTCTTACGTCATATACTTTTGGTTATTTTTTTTTGTAAGTACAAACCACTTTCAGAATAAATGAACGCTTGATTCTGTGGTTACAAGAGCTGGCCTACTACTTTTTGACAGGGTAGTAATTCAAGCAAGGATGAAAAAGTTGACAAAATAAACTAAATGAGCACCGTATTTACTCGCGTAATGAACTTACCCCGCACCTTGGTCCTCGAAAAAAGAAAAAAAAAACTTCTTCAATGTATCTGTTCACTTTATTTTCGTATGATAGCCAGTGTTATTGATGATCTAAACAATGCTAAATCAAGCCATTATATCACAAAATAACAATGCGATAAAAGTCAAAACATAGTTTTGCAACCATGCTAAACAGTTGCGAGCAGCGCGAGCGTGGATAAGGCCGTTCAAAATTTCAAAGTCGCGTTGTTTACGACACTGTGCCATCTGTCGAATGCAGAAGAAACGTTTTTGTTGAAAGCGCCAAGCAAGCACAGCGGCACAGAAACAAAGCATGTGGCCTTTGAAATGGTGGGCGCGTGGCCATCTCACAGGCTATGCAAAGCACAACCGCGCAGACGGGGCATCGTGCACCTGCAACGCCTACCATAAGGTTTGTGTGCCGCCATCAGATGCTGAGTTTTTGATGTCAGGTTTGTCGTCTGTGAATTTAGTAGGGACACCTGCTGCGCATAGGGCGAGTTCGGATGGTACGCTAGGTACACAGCTAGGTTACAAACAGCATGCGCTGAAGCATGGAAACTGAGCGGCTCGACGACACTTCGGCGTTGATCTGCACGTGCGCTTTCGTTATGGAAGGAAACAAAAAGAGCTTCGGGCTACAAAAAAGATTTCTCGCGCATTTCACGTGCCAAAACAAGCAAAGCCATTACGCGAAATTTTCGCTACTCCTGTAACTTTTTTTTCTCCCGTGTAATGAACCCTCCTCCCAAATTGGCGTCAACTTTTCTGAAAAAATGGTGGGTTCATTACACGAGTGAATGTGGTCATTAACACTTAGGTGTCAGGAAAAGTACCAGTTTTAAGTAGACACAACTATTATAATATATAGTTAGTACTATTTTTCTAGGGCCCTCCTCTTTTTTTTTTTTTAAATCTTGGTTCAGGTTGTCTGGTACCCCCGCGATCCTGGAAAGTATGTGCAGTCTGTTTAACACCTGGTGGGACATCTTTAAGCTCATGGCATGCTGCAGTGCTGCAGTCGCTTGCCGGCAGCAGCTCGCACATGCGCAGACGCTTAAGGAGCATGGGTGTTGGACCACATCTTCTGCTACAATGGTGCGCACTAGCCACATTGTCAAGCAGCTGCTGGTTGCTGCGGAAATGTACTAAACGTTGTGTGATGCCAACCTCTCGGCCTTCATTGGCGATAATGGGGTTGTAGAAACAGTATTTGACAGCATACTTTGTTTGCTCTTTCGAAATGCCGCGGTGCATACACATATATTCCTTCTTTATGTGTGCATCACAGTTCACAGAAGATAACGACCCCAACATGCTTCTTCGATTACATTTCATTACATGAAGGCAGCACTTGCTCACTAGTGGCGAAATGCATGCATGAAGCTTTCAACTTCGATCAATTCCTCATTATGTCCTCAGTGGCAGCAATGACAGTGATCATTTTGGCATGGCAGTAAGGTGCAAAGTGGCTTCCATGAATGGTGAGCGATATTGGCCCAGTTTCCGGAGTAACGATGAAATTTGCCTGCTCGCCAGTGTGCTCCGCCGTAGCCGACGATGTTTCAACACTATGGCCCATCTGCACACACACACACAAGCTGCTGCCGGCGCATGACTGCAGCGCTGTGAGATTTCCCCCAAGTGTGAAACAGACTGTACATTGCTCACAGATAAAAACTCGACAATGTGGGTGAAGCAGTGCGCATACTTCTGTTTTCACCAGCTTCAATTCATTGCATACTGGTGTGATATCAACTTGAATGCTTACATCAGAGTGGACATTGTCTTTAGTGCGCACATTATAGTAGCAGCATGACGTGGTTATATTGTGCACATACCACCTGTTATGCTAAATGTTATGATGGCACATTTGAGTCTGTAAGCACTGGACACAATTCATGATTAACCTGATCGTTAAGTAACAAAGGGACTCTAAAATATGTGATAGAAATTCCTTATGTATGTCTATGTTGTCTCATGCGCTACAAGAAATTTGTTTTGGGTACTTAGGTGTAAGCAGGGCTATGCTATCGTACGAGTGCACAGCTTTTCATTAGTTTTGTGTACGCTGGCGTACTGGAGCCTTTGTTAGGTTGTAAGGTGCCTCTTTAAAGTTATATTGGTGCATTGTAGCCATATCTTTTTGCTTTTGTTAGCTGTTACTTCTCGTTGACAGGAGTACAGTGTATCGGAAAACAAATGGGTGTTAAGGACATCATAGTTGAAATCGAGAAGAAATCATCATGGGCAGGACATGTAGCGCGAAGCAAGATAACCGCTGGTCATTAAAGAATCACAGACTGTATTCCAAGAGAAGACAAGTGGGCGAGGTGGAGACAAAGATAAGTGGGAAGGTGAGATTAGGAAGTTTAAGGGTGGCATCAGCAAGCACAGGACCGAGTTGACTGGCTTCACATGGCCTTTGTCCTGCAGTAGGCGTGAGTGTCGGCTTGTGCTTGTGTGGCTTCAGCCTGACTGGGCCATGTGAGCATTTGGTGTGGACTGGCTCTGTCCTGCACTAGCGGGACTAAAGGATGGGAACCTGAATCACAAGTGTTTCCAAGTGCTATGAGTTACCCAAGTGTCATGCAGTTCCTTTTATCTAGCTCAAGTGGTGCAGTTTTTGCAGGATGTGCAAGAGAGTGATTGCGTGTTACTTAGCGTACGAGTGGTCTTGGAAGTGACACTATGCACTGAGTCATTTTTGGTGGGTTTTGACATGAGATTGTAAATTCCCTACTGCATGGAGATCAGTAATAATTGACTCGTGTTCATGTGAACCCTTGAAAGTATTTCAGCTCACTTTTGAGGAGGACACTGTTTTCTTGTGGTCACCTTTCTGCTCCGTAATTTCTAGAAGAGCGCGTATATCCATGTGCTGTGCGGCAGATGACACGGATGAAGTATTTCAACTGCTCGGCAAAAGTACGTTTAAATGCCGTGCCAAAACAGCCAAGATGAACACTTTGCAGGTCAGTAACGGTTGTGTAGTGTTCCTGCGCGTGACAACGAACGAAAAATTTGTGCCCCACAAGACGCAATGAAGACTTCATGTGCACACATGTATTCTCGTTTTCGACATGTGCACAATGAAACTTGTATGTGCGCATTAAACACCTTTTCTGTCTCGCTTGCTATACTCGCCCCCGAGTAGTGTGCTCTCAGCGTTAGAGCAACCGCATTCAAGTGTCACCGTGTCGCTTGCACAGTGCTAACACCGGTGAGCTTTTACATGGAACATGGGCACGGGCATTGCTTCCGTTGCGTGAGAGACTGAATGCAACTATAGAAAGAGGTGCACGGCCGATTGTGGTGTGTTTACAGTGTGTAAATAAATGTCGCGAAAGCATTGACACCACACTGCCGTAGTCAGTACATCTAGCTCACATTCTTTTATGCTTGCTTCCTTGTCTGAGAGCTATTGCTCGCTGTAATACTCAGACGAAATTATATCAGCACTGAATCGCGCTTGCCCCGTTGAGCCCTGTTTCATTGGTTTTGGATTGCCACATTGTGTGCTGCGCAGCACGCATGGTTTTCGAGCCGGAGAGGGAGATGTTCCTTTCTTCTACTGCACTAAAACAAGAGAGGAGAGTCTGTCCAGTGAATATGGCCGACTTTCGGCTTCACCACAGCTTTACAGAGAGCGACTGTCAGGGTCTCTCCTTCAACTTTTCCTTCCTCGATGGCTACCGCTGTCTACTAGGCATTAGCGCTGCCATTTCACTCGCCAACGATGGCAGTGAGACTGCCCTGCTTTTGCCACTGGCTTGCTTTCTGAGCCGTAGGCAATAGGAAGAAAAGCCCAGTCATGTTCATACTTTCCTTGATGCCTTTTCTAATGCCATTGCTCTTAGCTCTGTTCCTGTTTCACCAGTGTGGTCACTGGTCAGAGCGGCTGTTCATCTGCATCATCAGCAAAACCGAGCCAGCCACGACTAGTGGATAAGAATAGCATAAGTCACCACTCCACGCCTCCGTCTTGGCGTTGTCTAATGCCTTTTGGCGGCACTCAGCTGGTGGTGTTGAGGTGTTAATGCAAGTGTTATGTTCGTTCATGAAAGTCGTTGTGGCCGTTGTTTCAGCGTGCTTTTCAGCATGTTATTGCTAATCACGTTTGAGAATTGCAGCTATTTTGGGAATAAAAGTTCTTTTGTTTCGCTAGCTCAGGTCAACTATAACTTTTTTCGATTTCACTACGATATTTTTTCTTCGATGAAATTTTTTCAATGCCCAGTCAGTTTCGTTGTAGCGAGGTTTGACTGTAGTAGCAGTTTCGCAAGGCTGTAACCTAATCCCATATCGCATCTAAGGGACGGAACTAGTGAAATTAGTCGTGTTGTTTCCATGTTGATACTGTCACACAGAGAGGAAGTTATTCAGTACTTGGATTTATGTACTAGTGAAATTGTAGGACAGGATAGTTGTATTACATACCACTTTTAATTTTACGCATTGCAGAGCAGAGCACCAATTTCGGCCAAGCTCGTTGCCAACATGCTGTCTGTTGCCGGTGCTGATCACATCATCACAATGGACCTTCATGCGTCGCAAATACAGGTGTGCCTCCCTGTATGCTTAAGTACAAGTCAACTTTTAAATTATACTTTATTGCTAAGCACATGAAAGTGCTGTGGTAAAATACATACAAAGAAAAAAAGCAGGTTAATTAAAATACAAAGTGTGTTTGTTGTTAGTGTCTTTTTGAGAATTATAAGGGAAAATGCGCTTGTAGCATCTGAGGGGTGCCCGATTCTTTCTTGGTAACAGGTGCCGCAACCAAATTAGAAATTGCCAACACGTCGACAATGTTTAAAATAGTAGCTGTAAACAATAAAGAAGGCAGACAGGGAACAAAGCTTGAAGAAAGAGGAGCCAACATCACATTGATTAATGAGTGACCGAGAAAAAAAAAAGGGTTCTCTTGAAGCACTATGTGAGGCTTCTATATATATTTTGAAGCAGAAATGAGCCCTTTCAAAGCATAATACAAAGCACTTAAAGAATAAGGGCAACTTCAGTAGGTAAATCTGTGTCCTCTGCTTCTTTTTTTTTTATTGAGATTCATGCTTAACTTTTACGAAATAGTATCCATTGCGTTGGTCAGGGAGTCTTAGTTGTAATGGTCAGGGTAAACCTGGAAAAATCGGGGGAATTTTATTTATACAATTTGATGGACACCCGGGCACGAGTTGTGGACATTGCAGTAATATGAAATAAAGATGGATCTTCACAGCCCTGGCTCTGTGGTTTAAAGTAGCATGTACTGAATAATTAAATGAAGAAGTGTCGTGGTCAAAAGACTGACCACTTGTGAATGTCCATTTGAAGAAAAACTGCAAGATGGTCAGGTGAGTAAGCCAATGTGGCAGGCTGCATAGAGCATTTTCGAAGGGCCATTTTCTAAGCGGTCTGTCACAGAACGGAGGTGGGGATGGAACAAGTGGACGTCAGGGAGCCATACGGGATTGGTCAAGGCTCCTCTGATGGTCAGGAGTCGGGACACGAGAATAGCCACAAAACTCGTACAGAACGGGCACAAAACAGGCGGATGCTCTGTTTTGTTGAAAGAATGGATACAAAACTTGTCTCCAGACGACTTGAATTGGATGGAACCCTAAGTGCCTAAGCCCGGAGTATTGAATTAGCCTTCTCTGTGTCAGACTTACCCAATCCCGCGCTACCCATACCGAAAGATAGCGAAAATCGCTACCAGCCTCCCATCACGGCGAGACTCGTCACCTATCACTTATTCAAAACATTAACTCAAACAAATTGTTAAAGTCATTGGGCTCTTCAATGTTTTTAAATGCCTTGAAAAACATTGCCTGCTAAATACATGTTCAGCTACAGTAACTCTATTTTTCTTCTTTTGCGAAAAGCATTATGGAATTTCCTTAGCTTTTCTATTGGCTGTTTGCTCTGTGTCGTCCTCTTATGATGTTTCACTCTTTCCCACCTTCGTTTACAGTGCACTCCCCTCCCCCCCCTTCACTGCTCAAAGTGCAGATGAGCTAGGAGGGTCCCAACCGTGCCTACTAAGAGCGCCCAACAATAGTAATGACTTATGTATTGTAATGACTTATTTATTGTAATAACAATAGTAATGACTTATACAAGTGGACAAGTGTTTAAATGTACTCTGTCTTTGTAGGGATTTTTTGACATTCCGGTGGACAACTTGTATGCTGAGCCTGCTGTTCTCAAGTGGGTTCGTGAGAACATACCAGAGTGGCGCAACAGCATCATTGTCTCCCCCGACGCTGGAGGAGCCAAGAGGTCCTTCTTTTTCACTTTCATTCGAGTTGCCCCACAAGATCATTCCTTATTTTGATGCAGCCAGTGCTCTGTAAATGGCTGATGCCTTCAATTTGCCACAGCAGTAGTGCAAGTTATAGCATTCCTGGAATGCAGTTATGAATTAGCAGTTGCAAACCCTAATAGCATGATCATTTAGATCAACATGAGTTTCTCATATTATTGAGTTACTGCTGAGACTGGAAACGCTGCTCTCATGCTGGTGGTGTTAACTAGAGCATTGAAATGACCAATCTGGCCTCCATTGTGAAATGGTAAAGAGGGTGTTCCATGTATTGCAAATAACTGCTTACTTACAGCATATTCTGACCACTTGCTGGTGCAAGATATATTTAATAATTGGGGCTGTCAAATGCAGAATGCCTCATTAAACTTTCTTTGAAGCCCTTTACAATGCAATTTTGACCTGAGCTATTCTGTGCACATGCCACAGCACAATTGTGAAACTTTAAGTGTATCTTTACATAACTAATACTGAACCTCATGCATATCACTATTAGATCGTCCAGCAGCCCCCGGCTGCACATGGGTGCACTCATGCATGCTGTTGTTACCGATTGGCTGTGGAGTTTTCTCGCACAGGCTTGTGCTGTGTGTCCTCCCTTGGAGCAAGCAGAATTACTTGTTCCTTCAGGTTTCCAAAAAACTGCATAGACTTGGCGCCCAAACTTGCAAAATGAGGCACTGTACATTGATGATTACAGAGCTTGTAACTGCTCTCAAAATTCAATTCGGCATCCATTAGTTTGAAAAATTGCATGATTCAGACGTGTTCTCTGGTCCCAGCAAGTCTGTGTATGTTCAATGGCATCACACCCTCATTTTGCTGCATGTTGTGGTAATATTTTGTCACAATGTGGTTAATTCGGATGACCCTTTCAGTATGCTGAGCTTGAAGCGCTGCAAATATACTCTGCAATGGAACGAAAATGGCGTTTGTGGACCGCAAAAACAAGGTGGCACAGTCTACACAGTCATCAGCGTGAACCATACGACAAGGCCACTAACAATGTTTTAGGTTAATTTCGGGTCAGTTAGGACAGAAAGTTCTTCAGCTGGGGTCACCTTGTGAAATAGTCGCCAATGGCGAAATTGCAGCATTTCATGCCTTAAAACAATCACAAAGTTACTTGTCTATCTGGAGAACACCACTTTCAACAAAAAAAATCAGCATATCCATGGAATGAATGATGATTGGCTGGGAGAAGCATTCGTCACTCCATCTGTGCTTTCGTATGTCCGTCTATCCGTGTGACCGTCGGTTTTCTGTCTGTCCGTGCGTCTGTTTGTGCAGCGATCCTTCTGTCTGTGCATGCGTATGCCTCTCTGTCTCTGCGGCCATCAGTCCATTCGTCTATCTGTATGTCCCTCTGTCTAGTGAACACTCCAAGTACAGCCATCTCATATCTTTTCATCATGTATTCATCATATACAAGTGCCCTCATCCAGCGGACACTTTATGAACTGCTCTTTCGGGTATGTGCCACCGGTGGCTACATACACAATCAAAGGATGGACAGACCCACATCTAAGGAGCTTCACCCCTAAAAGCAAATTTTTTTCTCACAATTGGGAAAATTCGGAATACGACCCCAAGCAAAACTGATGATGATTCCTGGCTATTTCCTCCATATTTCCTTGACAGTGGCTGTGAAAACTAGGGGTGTGTGAGTATTCGAAATTTTAAATATTTTTCTAATAGTGTGATATTGGATTCGATTCTGACTGGAATTTTTACTACGCGCACTTCCGAAAGACAAATACAGCCAATGTCCTCTAAAAAGTGACCCCTTCAGATTTTCAACATACTTGAGTGGCGAGAGGAGGACAGGTTGTGAAAATGAAAAGACTCATCTGTAGCCCCGATTAAGAGCTCAGTGCCAAAGCGGCAAGATCTGGCACCCGTTCAGGAGAGGAAGCTGGGCCTGTTGGTTGAGGAATTAGAGAAAGTGCCAGAGGGGAAGAGGGTGTCTCTACTTTCTAAAACAAGGAGCTTTGGTTTTTAAGAGTGAAACTCTCTAGGCCCACACCCTACCGTTGAAGCTCCCAGCTGCATCACTGATCCCCACCCCATTGCTTCTAGAACCAGGTCGTAGCTCCCATAGATATTTTCTCTCCGAATTAGATGCAACCAAAAACTAGCGGTGCTGTAGTTGGCTCAGTGGTCTCGCAACGCACGCACGGAGAACATGTCGCAGGCAACTACTCATTTCTGCTCGCTGCGTCATGTGTGCCGACTCTGCGATTACCTTCGACAACGATGTCATTGAGAGCAATGGTGCGCTTGAGAGCAATGGTGCGCTGACGTATCTGATTCCACGGTGCACAAAAAGTGGAACAAAATGGAACAGTAGTGTGTGGCAATACTTTTTTGCAGACTAATTGGTTCATACTTGAAAAATTGAATTGCTGCACAAACTTGAAGAAAAACAAGGGAGACGGAAAAGAGCGCAGACTACCAACCGTTTATTGTCGTTTCTTGAAGCCAATATATACGCATGCTACGCTGCGCTTCCACGATGCGCACAAAACCAAAGATGCCGCAAACAAAGCCGACCCAAAACAAATCAAATCAAAATTGACTGCCACCACAATGACAAAAGTGATGAAATAGCAGAATACAAAAGAGATACCCACCACAATCTAAACTGCGCATTCCCAAGGTGTGCGCTCAGCTTTTTTAAAATTTATCTTTTATTATTTATTGCACCAGGCATCAACAAAGGCGTGAACAAATGAAATCGTACTCTAGAGTATTTTGTTTAAAAACCACTAAAAATAGCGCTTAGCACAGAATAAAACAATAAAATAACCATTTTATATTCACTCCAAACAGCCCCTATTGAGCAACCTGAAGAAGCAGTACGCCGAGAGAGTCAAGAACTATAATAACATAAAACTTTACAAAACATTACGTAGCGTCACGTGGGAAATAAAACAAGAACACTAATGAACAAAACAAAAGAAGAGAAATGGAAGAGAACACAATACAAGGCGTTAGCCACAACATTACACATGACCATGTGGGAAGACCATTTCCCTGTCCGAAAGTGAAATTGAAGGCATGCTTATGCACTTTTTGACAAACATGTGGTGTGCAGTGCATGTGGCCCGTTTAGGTTGCTAATGAAGGAACTATACAGCTTGTGAAACTATTCGACACAGCATCTTGGTCTTCTGCAGATACCAAGGAAGGATAAGCTTAGCGGGTGTAACCTGTATACGTTTAAGTTTCAATTTCTTAGAAGAGTAAGGGCTCATGTCTCTATGTTTGATGTATGTTACTTATTCATTGATAGCCAAAATGACGGAAAAATGGAGAAGAAATTTGATAGGATAAAAATTTCTGAAGTCTGACATTTATGTGGTAAAAGGTGTCAATACACCCGTGCCTATACCTCCACCCCCCCCACCCCTGTTTCAAAGTGTACAGCAGCAAATCAACACCTCGGCGATCTTGGTCTATTACGGTGGAGTGTTGGTTGTCATTACTACTTTTGTTGACTTCGGGGGATGTACAAGAAAATCCAGGTTCCAAGACTGCTGAATTGTTGCAACAAATTTTAGACAACCAGAAAGAATCTGATGAGAAGATAAACGCGATTAGAAAAGTTGCCGAACTTAATGAAAAGTCAGGAGAGAATGAACAGCCATCTGAATGCCATGCAGGATATGCAAAAGAAAATCGAAAGGTTAGAAAATATAATCCAGCAACAAGCAGAACGACTAGTGGATTATGAAAGCAGAAGCCGAAGAAATAATCTACTCATTTTTGGGGTTCCCGAGGCCAGAAATGAGGCCGAGGCAGATTTGTGCGAGGCCGTCGTTGATAACAATTTCAGAAGCAAGCTAGGGGTAGACGTTGAATCGGTAAAAAGAATTCATCGATTAGGTAAACAAAGACAAGGCAAAGCAAGACAAGTAATTATGAAATTCATGGATTACCATGAGAAGGAGATGGTAATGCATAATTGCAAGAAACTAAAGGGTACTTCTCTCAGGATCAGTAGCGATCACTCAAAAGAAACAGTCGAACTAAGAAAGAAACTATGGGAAAGTTCAGCGCCAGACTGAGCTAAGGGAGAGAGGGTCTCGATGGTGCATGATAAACTGAAGATGAAACGGGCGCGTGTTTGTCTGGGATGATGAAAAAAAAAAATGAATGCAGTCTTTTTCAATACCGGTGTGATAAGAAGGATAGCAGAGTTCAAGCGACGCCAGTATCGAGTGTCACATGACCGACATGAATCCTTTGACTCGGACAGCTCTGCATGGTAGTTCCAAAAATCAATCCCAATCATAGCTACGAATTCTTGTCCAAAATGCTTGTAGCATCGTAAAAAAAGTTACAGAATCAGAATATTTTTTATTGGCACATAGTCCCCATGTTGTAATAGTAACAGAAACATGGCTACGCGATGAAATATGCAGTGATTGTATTGTTTCTCCAGGGTACAAGCTTTTCATATGGGACAGAGATTCACGAGGCGGCGGTGCTGCTATCATTGTTAAAAGTTCCATCCCAACTTGCACGATACAATGTCAGGTTCGCGCAACTGTATGGTGTAAGACTACATTCAATAATAGAGTGTACATTATTGGCTCAGTATACAGACCACCTGCGTGTGAGCCTCAGTTTCTGGATTTGTTGAGTGATTTTTTGTGTGACCATGTTATTGGGAGCATGAGGTTAATAATGGCCAGAGACTTCAACTTGCCACACTTTGACTGGCAAAATGTTTTGACGGGTGACACTGAAACAAGTAGCTGCAAGAAAATTTTGGAAATTAAATTCTGCCATGGCCTGGAACCAATTGTGCATGAACCAACAAGAGTTACAGGTTCATCGAAGTCATTATTAGACCTCGTGTTCTTGTCCCAAAACATATGACTATGTTTTAAATATTTCAGTTGGCATATCCGACCACAAGATGTTGTCTTTAGTCATTAAAACTAATGGA